AGAGACAGAAAGCAGAATAGTGGTTGTCAGGGCCTGGAGAGAGTGTAGAATGGGAAGTTTTTATTTGGTGGTATAGAATTACAGATTGGGATGACAAAAAAGTTCTGGAGATAAACAGTGATGATGATTGTACAACAATGTCAGTCCACTTAATGCTACTGCATTGTACATTTAAAAAATATTTAAAATGGTAAATTTTACACATGTTACAATTTTAAAAAAATTACATACACTCTTGTAACCACAAACTAGTGGCACACTTCTGCAACTGCTGGTTTAACGGTGTCAATAACAATAAAGATAAGAGTTAGTGAGCTAAATTTAAAAAATAAAAAAGATCTCAAATGAGCAATCTAACATAACACCTTAAGGAAATAAAAAAAAGGACAAACTAAACCCAATGTGAGCAGAAGGAAGGAAATTAAGATTAGAGTGCAGACAAATAAAACAGAGAATAGAAAAACAAGAGAGATAATGAAAGAAGTCAAAAGTTAGTTAAAAAGAAAGACCAAATTGACAAATCTGTAGCCATACTAAGAAAAATAAAACACATAAAACTAAAAGCAGAAATGAAAGTGTGGACATTATTAGTAACCTTACATAAAGAAAAACTACACCAATAAACTAGGTAAACTAGTTTACAGACAAATTCCTAGAAAGACATGTACTAGCCCATTCTCATGCTGCAAAAAGAAATAACCTGAGTAATTTATAAAGGAAAGAGGTTTTCAAAAAGGGAGAATTATTCTGAGGCTAGATCATGTGATGCTTTTACAGTGCACTTAAAAAAAATTTTTTTTTTCCACACGAGATTTCTAAGTGTCTAAATTACACTTTTTCTTTAAAAACCCAGAGTAGCTTCTGTTGCAATAGCTATTAATGAAGAAAACAGAATTCAGTCAACCGAGAAGAAAAAAACTTTTGCTCAAAAAGACAAGGTCCTAAGAGAGAAATAAACAGAAACATGAAGGCCTTTTAAATATAAGCATGCACACGTGCACACATACATTTACATATCTTGGATGTTAGCTTTTAATTAAGCTGACCATTGAGCTCCTAAAAATTATATTTTCCTTCCCAGAGGCCTCTCAGCAGAAATGGACCCAATACCTCCCGTTTTTAAGTTTACATGGTATCAAAAGGAGTGAGACAGATACACAAACAAGTGGAGACAAATTTTGGACAACACAAGGGGAGGTGCACTCGGGCAAAACAGATTCAAAACCTGATCTCAATAAAATGCAAAGCGGGTGTATAACCAAGCCTTATTGCTTCCCTTGCCAGTGCCGGACAAATGGCTTAACAAGCCTAGATAGGAAATCAGTAGGCTCCCGGCGGCATACCGTCTGGTTAACTCACCCTTTGAGTTCCTCCGCTCCTGAGCTCCATTCTAACCCAGTAGTGTAAGAGATGTGCACTTTTGAGCACGGGACAGCCTTCAAGAGGGTCCCTGGGAAAATCTCACCTGCAGCTGCTGGGATCCCCCTGAAGACCGTCTCGTTGCAAGCTGCTGGCCGCTAAATGCAGAACCATTCTGTTCTCTCCTGGCTGGCCCACCAAATTTTGTTCCCAGACCAAATTGAGGGTCGTCGGGCTACTGTTTCTCGTGGCCCATAACGAGATGCAAATGAACTGGGGAGGAAGAGAGTTTTCATTTCTGCAACCGGTTACAGGGAGAAGGCCTGGAAATTATTGCCAGACCAACTCAAAATTACAAAGTTTTCCAGAGCTTATATACCTTCTAAGCTGTATGTCCATGTGTAAGTGTGCATTCATCTAAGTGATTAACTTCTTTTAATCTATAACTAAGATCTGAGTCCTGAAGACCTTCCTCTGGAGCCTCAGTAAATTTACTTAATCTAAATGGGTCCAGGTGCTGGGGGGATTACCCTTGTCTACTGCTAAATCACGGAGGTTTGGGGAGTTCCTTCAGACGCCCAATAAACTTGTATGTGGAGGCCTGGGAAGTTTCTTCAGACCCACAATAAAACTTATTTAATCCTAAATGGGCCTTGTGAAGAATTCCTTTATTATTTTGTCATGCTGTAAGGCCCAGGAAAGGCCTAGGCAAAACTCTTGATGGGCTTTTATGTCATCCCAGCCTTCATATAATGGGACTGGCTTTTAATATTTAACTTAACCCCTCAGTCAGTAGTGACACAGTTGTTATGGAGGCCTGCATGAGTGAGGCCTGGCCTGCCACAATCCTGTGTTCATGTATTGAAAGACTGTATTATTAAGATGACAGTACTACCCAAAGCAGTCCACAGATTCACTGAAAGCCCTACCAAAATTCCAAAGGCCTTTTTGCAAAAATGGAAAAGCTGATCTTCAAACTCATATGGAATTGTAAACGTCATGAATAGCCAAAACAATGCAGAAAAGGCCAAAGTTGGAGGACTGACACTTCCCGGTTTCAGAACTTACTATAAAGCTGCAGTGATCTGAACAGTGGGCTGTTGGCACAAGTACAGATGATACTAACATACAGATCAATAGAATAGAATTGAGGCTTCAGAAATAAACCCATACATCTGTGGCCAACTGACTTGCAACAAATGATGCTGCAATAACTGAATGTACACATACAAAAAAAAGTTGGAACCTCTGTGATATTGTGATAGAACAAGAAATACATATCTTGGTCTTATACCAGTTTCCTGACACATAGCTCCTAAAACCCTTGGAACATCCCAAGTCCCCAAGCTGTGAGTGTCTTTGTATGCTAATGAAATGACTAATGGCTGGGGGACCTGAATGGGGGGTAGTTGCCAGGAGGAACCAACCAAGTAATTAGAGAGTAGACCTCCAGGGGAGGGGGAAGTCCTGAAGGTTAAGTTGATCACCAGTAGCCAATGATTTAATCATTCATGCCTTCATAATGAAGCCCCTCACTCCATAAAAACCCAAAAGGTTTAGGACAGCTTTCTAGGTTGCTGAACATGTACAGGTACCGAGAGCACAGAAGCTCCACCACCCTTCCTCCATACTTTGCCCCATGAATCTCTTCAATCTGGCTATTCCTGAGTTGTATCCTTTTAAAAGAGATAAACGTGTTTCTCTGAGTTCTGTAAGCCATTCTAACAAATTAATGTGGAAACTGTAACTGGGGGACCTGTTATTTGCAATTGACGTCCAAAGTAGGGGGCAGTTTCATGGGACTGAGCCTGGGTGTAAGGTCTGCATTAACTCTGGCTAGTGTCAGAATTGAATTGTAGAATACCTAGTTGGTGTCTGCAGAGAATGGGGAAATTGTTTCGTCTTGGGGAAAACAACCTAAACATCTGGTGTTGGAAGTGATGTACTGAGTATTGAGAGTATAGAAGGAAAAACAGTTTGTTTTTTCTTACTCTACCTCACACCATATATAAAAATTAAGTAAAAATGAATCAAACTGGCTGGGTGCAGTAACTCAATAACTCACGCCTGTAATCCCAGCATTTTGGCAGGCTGAAGCAGGTGGATCAGCTGAGGTCAGGAGTTTGAGACCAGCTTGACCAACATGGAGAA